ACTTTGAAGACGAAAACTATCTAGCGCAGGAATAACGTAGCTTGCGGAAAATATAACTAACATATAACTAACAATAATAATTATAATTCTCAATTGGTTTACTTTAACTATTATATTAATAGTTTTCATATTTAACCGAAACCAAAATTTTCAATGTTAATATAAAGTTTAATTTTTATTACTTGTTACAATAGGAATATGTTTGAAAACATTAGTTTGCATAAAAGTGTAGTATAATATAACTCTTTCTAACATTTATAATTGACAAATCTATAGATGTTTGTTAATAAAGTTTCTATAGATAAATTTTGGTTTATATTTGATAAAAGAATTACCACAATCTATTAAAAATGATTAAATAAATAAATGTTAATATATAATGAAGATTCAAAAATGCAGTAATAATTTGAAAATAACTTAATTAAATATTTTTAATTAACTTAGTTTCCAATAATAAACTTAAATTTATATAAAAATTTTGATGTTTATTTATTACTACTTATTTTTAAAATATATTTAAAATTTTGTTGCATATTAAGTTTATTTATTAAAACTTTTTTTTAAAATATATTTAAAATTTTGTTGCATATTAAGTCACTATCACCCACACAAATCATATTATGTTCCGCCTCTGACATGACATATGCGTATACTGCATCTGTGTCAACATTCAACCCTCATTAAATGCGAACACTTAGATTTCGGCGATGAAGAGGACGAATTCGTGGAGAAAAATGTATTAACTTCTTATCTTTGATAAAATTTTGAAATACAGGGTGTAAAAATTAAATATCAAATAGCAATATATTAAAGGATATTTATTTGTGTATAAATTATAATAAGTAAAAATGTGTGGAGATAAAACTTTACATCAAGTATTGTAAATTATTGATTGTACATCAATTATTTTAAATAATATTTATTTATATAAAGACTAATAGTTTTTTATAGAACAATGGTTATAGAACTGTTAACAATCACCAATTGATTGATCAACGTTTAAATATACAAGCTTGAAGAAACGCATCCCAATGATTCAATGCCAAAGCTTGCCTCGCTATGTAATTTCTCGGTTGTCTAAGTGTAAGACCTACCCACTTCCACTTTTCGTTTTTATCTCAGTTTGCGTTTTAATATTCGATCTGCCTAACATATTTAAATAATTTTACGTAGACACTTGTTAATGTTTCAAAATAATCCATCTAAATGAGTTTTGCTGTGTATACCAATTCTTAAGAAAGTCAACACTGTGCAGTAGACCACAGGTTTTTTAGATTACTTGCAGAATAATTAACATCGGTCATCTCCCATGTAAGGAAATGATTAATGCAAGTAATGTCCAACATTATTAGACGCTCTAACAAATAGAGCAAACTGTCTTTTTTTGGAATGCCTGCAGTATAATTTGCATCAAGTGTCTTCCATGTAAACAAATGATTAATGGTAAGTCTTAGTGAACACTCTAAACCACATTTCAAGTAAATACATTTTAACAAAATGTTTTTCTAGGAACGTTTGCAGTATAATTAATAACAATTATCTTCCCTGTAAGCTAATGATCAATGGTAAGTCTTGCCTAGCCTTAGTGATGTGTCTGAACCACATTTTAAATAGAAAACATTTGAACAAGAAAAGAGTACTTTTTTGTCCAAAAAATACAGAAAGTGCACCACTGATGAATCTATTGAGAAATTTATTACTAATAGAGAGTTACTCTATAAAGTCTATTATAGTTTGAACGATTTAAAAGAGTTGTACAAACATTAGATCATATATATTGAGTTGGCAGAATATTACATTGACTAAGTCGAAGAACAAGACAAATTGATTGTAAAAAATGTTATGCACTGTTTTTTTTAAAATATTTATTAATGCTGACAATGATTTAACAAGGATAGTACACGAAGATAATAAAGATTAGAAACTCGCCTCTTCCGGCAATATCTTTAAGGGAATCACATTGGGCAATATATATCTCCGTGTGGAAATGCTGATAACTGTCAGCACGCGCCTTCTCAACCTAATAATCTGTTATTGCTGATGATAATAATTATTGTATCCTTTCTTCTAACTAATTTTGATAAAAATTATTGTTTTTAATAACTAAACATTGAATCTATGTCGTTCAATTTAACAATGTTACTGAAAATATTTGCATTACTTAATCCATTTTAATCCACTAATTCATTTTTAGGATAGTATGAAGATAATAACGCAGATAATAAAGGTTTGCAACTCGCCTCTTCCGGCAATATCTTTGAGGGCATCACAGTGGGCAATATATATCTCCGTGTGAAAATGCTGATAACTGTCAGCACACGCCTTCTCAACTTGATCTAATCTATTAATGCTGATGATAATAATTATTGTATCCTTCCTTCTAACTAATTTTGATAAAAATTATTGTTTTTAATAATTAAACATTTAATCTATGTCGTACAATTTAACAATATTACTGAAAATATTTGCATTACTTAATCCATTTTAATTCACTAATCCATTTTTAGGGTATAAGAAATCGATGCAACATACTCTTCTCATGTTTTTTTTACCAAATTGAACGGTTTTGCTGTATATTTCGTAACCTTTTTCAACTGCATGGCTCTACCTACACCCCCTGTATACACGCACTGTGAAATATGTAATTCGCAAAAAGTAACTCGTCATTTGTCGTTTTTATTGGACGTAACAATAGTTGCATCCGAACCCTCAAACTGTGCGTTAGCTTCTCGAAAATCACGGTAGGTTATATAGTGAAAATTTTGCAAAAAATTTACTCCAATGAAAAGAAATCAAAAGTGATAAAATTTCAATAAATCCTTATAAATTAAATGAATGATAACGATAAAAGGTTAAATACAAAAGTAATGAAGTGAAAATGATAAGCCATAGCCAAACCCTTTTTACAGTGCACAAAAAATGGCAAATTTCTATTACTGAGGTGTGGCATATTTAGCTTTTCTATCACTTAATGTGAAAAAATATTAACAATTGTTATCAAAGCAATTAAAAATGGTTAATTTCTGATAGAAATATTAAGAAAATTGTTGAAAAAATTGTTATAAAATTGAAATGAAAATTTTTATTGATTATGTAAGCAAGTCGAAAATCTTGCTGAAAATTTTCTACAAGATGGTGGCTCCCAAATGGTTTAGATACTCCATTTTGTATCTACACCTACTAACGAAGATGCGGAGCCTGCGTGATTTGGAAGCTGTGTCAACAGCTGTCTAAACAGCTGTTTGATAAAAAATTCACTTTGGCTTTGTTTACATATCAACAGTTGAGATGTGAAATGCCGGAAAAAAATTGTGAAAAAATAAGAAGAGAAAGTGAAATCAATAGGCCGGTATCCTATTTTTTTCTGTGTCATTAAAATATGCATAATAAGTAGTAAATTGAAAAAGGCCTGCGCACGCAAACACTTGTTGCTTGACAAATAATAGAGGGTTTTTATCTACACAATATTGTAACGAGTTTTTTTAACGAGTTTCAACACATTTACATACTAAAGCTATAAATGAATGAAAGCAACAGTTTGTAGGTCATTCATAAATTTACCCTTAAAGGGCAATAAATGCGACAGCAACAGTTGTTAAGAGCTGAGCTATTAGAGAGGATATAAAATAAATTTTTTTTCCATTAAAGTTTCAAATCCATTTATAAAATTCATTATTTTATTTTTTTCTACTATTAACAATTCAATAATTTATTATTTATTTTATATATATAAATATATAATATACTTTCCTTTATTAATTCTCTTATTTAATTATAAATATTTTACTGAAACAAAAAAAAATTATGATGATTCTTGTTAAAACGGTTGATAGTCTAAAAAATTCATTATTTTATATAAACAACATATTTTTTTTCACTATAAACAATTTAATAGTTTATTATTTATTTTATATATATAAATATATAATATACTTTTCTTTATTTATTCTCTTTTTTAATTATAAATATTTTTTAATTATAAAAATTTACTGAAACAAATAAAAATAATGACAATAAAATTCATTATTTTATATAAATAACATATTTTTTCCACTATTATTAATTTAATAATTTATTATTTTTTTTATATATATAAATAAATAATATACTTTTCTTTATTTTTTCTCTTATTTAATTATAACTACTTTAGTGAAACAAAAAAAAAGTAATGATAACTATTGTTAAATCAGTTGATAAGCAAGAAAATTCATTATTTTATATAAATAACATATTTTTTTCTATTATTTTTTTCTCTACTATTATTATTTTTCTACTATAATTTAATAATTTATTATTTTTTTTATATATATAACTAATAATAAACTTCTTTTTATTTATTCTCTTATTTAATTATAACTACTTTAGTGAAACAATAAAAAAATAATGATAACTATTGTTAAATCAGTTGATAGTCAATAAAATTTATTATTTTATATAAATAACATATTTTTTTCTATTATTTTTTTTTCTACTATTACTATTTTTCTACTATAATTTAATAATTTATTATTTTTTTTATATATATAAATAAATAATATACTTTTCTTTATTTATTCTCTTATTTAATTATAACTATTTTAGTGAAACAAAAAAAAAATAATGATAACTATTGTTAAATCAGTTGATAAGCAAAAAAATTCATTATTTTATATAAATAACATATTTTTTACTATTATTTTTTTTTCTACTATTATTATTTTTCTACTATAATTTAATAATTTATTATTTTTTTTATATATATAAATAAATAATATACTTTTCTTTATTTATACTCTTATTTAATTATAACTATTTTAGTGAAACAAAACAAAAATAATGATAACTATTGTTAAATCGGTTGATAGTCAATTAAATTCATTATTTTATATAAATAATATATTTTTTTCCAATATTAATAATTTAATTATTTATTATTTATTTTATATATATAAATAAAAAATAAAGTTTTTGTTATTTATTTTCTTATTTAATTATAACTACTTTAGTGAACCAAACAAAAAGTAATGATAACTATTGTTAAATCGTTTGATTATCTAAAAAATTAAAATATTTCAATGAAACACACTGCGTATGAGTAATGTTAATTCAAAATGGTTACAACTACAACAACAACAACGAATAATAATTTACACAACAACAATGGCGAAGAGTTTGACATTGATCAGGATGATGGTATGCAGGATTTGGGTTTGCCAGTATCTGTGCAAACCTTTCTTTGGCGTCAAATAGCACCTTTTATCAGGCCAAGACTTGGTAAATTGCATGAAGCGAGTTGTATGGTGAGTTGACTAAAAAAATAAATATTTATATTAAAATTAATTAATATTAAAAAAAAAATATTTACTACAAACAATTAAACATATATAATAAAATTTACAACAAAAACAATCATATTTGGCTTTTAGCAGAAATAACATTGTAATTTTAATTTATTTTTTAAGAATTCAATTATAATTAATTCAAAAAAAAAATATCCCTAAACAGGCTATATAAGAATTATTTAATGCTTAGCCAGTACTCTTAAGCTTAAACACTTGCACTTTAACTGCTTCTTAGCTTGTATTTTGCTATATTTTATACTATTAAGAAGTTGAATTTAATAATAAAGAATTTTCTACTAAAAGCCTGTAAACTAAAATTAAATAAAATTACTAAATTTTATACAAATTTATACAAATTTTAAATGTATGTATATAAACTTATTAAATTACTAATATAAATTGCTGTATATATAAAGCTATAACTGTTTAAAAAAATGGAACTTAAAAAAAATTAAAACAATTATGATAAAATTTAGAAACTTAAAATGTACACCATATACATTAATACATACATATAGATATATATATCAAATAGTCGACGAAGTATTGAGCCTTTCAAAGTTTAACAGGATAAGAAATATTTTAATTCATGAGAAGAATCTTACTAAAGTAAATAAGCAATAAATATAAATAAATAAATAATTTGTGTTTTTAAAGACTTCTTGGAATCTGAATTAGAAACTAATAGGTTGATCAATTTTCACAGCAGCCTTTAAAAGCACAAATCATAATAAAAAATATCTAATGATGTCAATGACAATAAATAAAAAAATAATATTATTTAATATTTATAGTTTACATTGTGACCGAAAGGTTTTCGGAGGTTCTCATTTAAAATTCGCGCGCTGTATATTTTTCGATATTTTAAGTTTATGTAGTTTGGCAGCACTGTCCTTAATTACTATGCCAAAAATGAGCGCGATCTGTCGGACAGTTCGTTTACGGCAGCTGTTGAAACCAGTTCACCTCAGTAGTGCGTTGCGAAAAAAACAATGGAAAAAAATATTGAACAAAGAGTTTGCATCAAATTTTGTTTTTCGAACGAAATTTCGTGTGCAGAATCGTTGCGAATGCTACAAAAGGCTTATGGGGAATCAGTTTTATCGAAAACTCAAGTTTATGAGTGGTACAAAGCCTTTCAGGACTGTCGTACGACCGTCGAAGACATGCCGCGTTCTGGACGACCTTCGACCTCTACCACCGACGAAAACATTGAAAAGGCAAAGGAAATCGTGTTCAAAAATCCTCATGTGAGTGTTAGAGAGATAGCACGAGAGCTAGGCATCGGTCGTGAGATGGCTCGTTTGATTTTGGTGGACAATTTGTGTATGCGACGTGTCAACGCCCGGCTTGTTCCGATTCACCTCAATTTGTTCAACATTATCAACGATTTTAAGGCCAAACATTCAATAAATACCATCGAACAGCCACCGTATTCACCTGATCTTGCACCGTGTGACTTTTTCCTGTTTCCCAACCTCAAATTACCACTCAGAGGAACGCGTTTTGAATCCATAGAAGACGTAAAACAGAATTCGCAGAGGGAACTCAAAGCCATACCGGAAAGCGCCTATAAAAAAATGTTTTGATGATTGGAAGAAAACGTTGGCATTTGTGTTATCGCTTCTAATGAGCATATTTTGAAGGAGATAAAATAAATATTGATGAAGATTAAGAATTTTGCGTTTTATTTATTTATGACCGGAAACTTTTCGGTCACAATGTATATCGATTTTTCAGTCAATTGACGTGTTCGATTGTTAAACTTAGATTCAATCTAGATTTATTCTTGATCTCTCAAATTTTGTTGTCCAAGGGAACAATTTTAGAATAATCTAACATTTTTGTTTTGTTGTGTTAGTAAACATTTCCATTTTTCACAAATACATATAAATAAAATTACAGTTTATCTGTCAAATCATATAAAACTGCTGTCAATTTCAGAGCAATCTTGCTACTCTGGCAAAATATCTAAAATGTTATTAATTAATCTCGAATGTTATATATTTTGACCCAGAAACTTTCACAGAAAATTACCAAAACTCTAGAAAAAAGTGTGAACATCAGTTGGCTAATGAACTCTGACTCTGAGCTCCAAATTTAGCAGGGCATGACTTCGATTTCTAGTATTTGCAGTCTCACAAAAAAATTTTTACGAATAATTAAATACAAGAATTATTTCCAAGACCACTGAAGATGAGTATTTGACAATACCTGAAACAGCTGTATGGTCAGCCAAAAATTCATTTAATTAATAAATAATAAAATTTTATTGTTGTAATTTTTTACTGTTCGAAATGCCTCTCTATTGAAAACAATCGTTTATATTAAAAATTTAGACTTTTAATTGAAGTTTTATTAAACGAACTTATGATAATACTATGCAACACTAAATTCTATATCGTAAATTACTAAATTTGAAGCTATTAAGCTCAAATCTGCGATCATTTTTTCTCTCAAACAAAAAAATTGTGGTTTAAAGTATTAAAAAATTTTTTTTTTATTTTAAGAAAAGGACTTTTTGTTTTTAAATAAATTTGGTATGAATATTCAAATAATTATTTTTATTTTAGATATCCTTTCCAAAATTTCCCTTCCTCCTTTTCTGTCAAAAAGAACAAAGTCTTTCAAATATTTCTTGAAACAGTTTGTATTCTACACAATGATATTAACAAATAATTTAAAAACCCACTTTTTGAGAGGGTTGGAAAGTTTGTGGAAAAATGTTTAAGGTGAAAATGTTTATCTATTCATTAATAGATAATGCTTGCTGAAAACATGAAACTCACACAGTGTAATATGGAGACTAATGGTACATTTTTAAAATGTCTGGTAGGTACACATAGTTTTTATTTACACTACATCGAATGAAAAGACGGCTCAATACCTTTTCGAATACATAATTTATATGTATATATATTTATATATTATGTGTGTGTTATTAATAACAATATAACAATATTAAGAGTTTAAACTACTATCTAATGGTTTGCCATCTGTTATTTGTGCTGAATGCTTTTAATGTTAAATTTAATAAGCATTTGTTATACAAAAATAAATACTTAAATATTAAATGCACTATAGTCAAAAATTTGAATTATTTAAATAAATACATATATTAAATAAAATATGTATTAAATTTCAAAATTTACTAAATTAATTACAAATATATAAGTTTTCATAAAAGTTTTTACATTAAACCTTCATCTTCGCACTACGCAATATATCTTACCGATAAATAGTAAGATAAAGATAAAATTATGTTGATGAGTGTGTGATCTTGTTCACTGGACGAATTATTGGTAGCAATTAATGTGACCATATTATGTATATATAACCTTTCAATGATTAATTTTATTCATTCAATGATTAGCCTTTCATATTATACATAACTTCAAAATTGATTTGGGAACTTTGTTAAACCTTGCCAAGTTCAAGAATCTTAACAGCAGAAGCCAATTTTCTATTAGACAAATACATACTCAAACAATAAAGGAAACTAAATTAAATAAATTAATTGTAGGATAACCTGAGAAGTTAATTTTTTCAGCATATCTTATAGAACAAGATGAAAGTATGATGCCTTTTTATTCCTTAGTTACGAGTTGATGATGGAGACCACAACATTAAACGGAACTTGACTTAACCGATCATAAAAATACAACACTACACTAAGATATGTTATGGAAACATTAGAATTATATGCAATATATATAGTAAAATGAGCATTTTTACCTCAGTTTTGACCACATGAAAAGAACAATAACTGTAGGAATCTATTATAATTGTTCGTATTTGGTCTATTGATATGTAGTATTTCTCTGTTTATGCACTGTTTTTATATAACTTTTACTATAAATTAGGATCGATGATAAAAGTAAAAAAATTATCAAGTCAAAACAATATCCCCTAAATAATAAAACGATGCATCTTTCATCTTTATTACATTAAAATCTATGCTAACTTCATCCATATATTAGCTTTTTTATATAACTTTTTGTTATAAATGCTGCTACATTAAAGCACTAATAAATTATATGAGAGCACTTTTTCAAATGACCATTGTTGATAAAGCAAATATTGTATTTTTAATAGAATATTTTCCTTTACCATATCAGCTACAATTAAAATATTAAGTACTCAAAAAAAAGTACTTTTTATGTACTTATATAGATTCATAAATAATACGGAATGATTTTATAATGTTGATAATATAGTCACCAGCTTCATAATAGTTTCATAATAGATTTTAGTTTAAGTTCAGAAAATTTTGTTTTAGAGTTAGTCCTTTTAATTTCGTCTAGTATTCGCCACTTGGTACATTAGACTCATTAGGAACCCATTGAAGGTTTAAATCGCTGATTCTATCGACGCAGTATGCTAAACAATTATGTATATTTATTGACTTGTTTTGATTATGTTAGTGGGACGACTAGAACTTAAAGCACGCCTTGGACCTTACTAAGAACCAAGGCAAACTTTTTATTTGATCAATATATTCACTTGATCAAAAAGTCGAAATATATATACATGTATATATATATTATATTTATTAATATTATTATATATAATATATATATATCAATATACATCATAAACAATTGATTAGAAAAATAATCTTAAATATTAATAAATTTTAAAAATACTGTAGTGCATTTAATAATTCTTAAAAAAACAAATATTTTAAAGCTATTTTAACTTAAAATAAATTATAATACAAAAACTATTTTTAATTATATAAATTATATGCATAATTAAATAATTGTTTAAATGTTTTTGTTTAAGTGTCTGCATTATTTTGTTTGATTTGAAAAATTATTTTTACATGTTTAATGCTTTTAATACACAAACAACAATGAATGTATATTAAAAAATATAAAATTGTTATATGTTTTATCTGAAACTAACTCAACGCTAATTAAAATACTGAATAATCGTTAATCATTATCGTACTTGTACTCGTACATGTCAAATTGATGTAGTTTTGTCAACATGCACCAGGACACCATGTAAGTCGCAACAACTAAGTAGTTCTACTTACCTCTCTTCTTTTGTAGTTCTTTATTTTTTATGTATATATTAATATTTTTTTCGTTAAAATAAATTAAAAAGAGTTATATTGGTTTAATTTTAGTTGTCAAAGAAAACAAATCATATTTCCGAAACCTATATAAAATATTAAGTTCTATAAGTCTTAATAGTCCTTAATTTCTAAAATCCTTAAAAAACTGTTACCTGATTAAAAACTTGTTCATAATAAAATAGTATATAATATTATAATAATAAAATAAAATATATTTTATTGGTACCAGTGATAGTTGACCCTTTCCTTTATTGTTATAAATCGGTCTTGTTAAAACCCTCTTGTTCTTTTCCTATCAGTTCTAATACAGTTTTCACTTTTTAACAAAATACGAATTATTAAAGTAATTATTAACAAAAAAATTTCACAAAGAAGTGTCTGACGACAGAACAAGCTATTAAAAACTATTCCGATAAATTAGACATTGAATCGAGTCAAATATAGATTACATAGCACTCCCATCGATAGGTTGTTTTCTTCTGCACGCTAAATACAGCTTTAAAGTGGGTGAAAAATTTTTGGAAACGAAGGAATTCTGTATTCTTTCAGGATACTGTGATAGTAAGTTTTAAAACAGAACAATCACTGCAAAACGAGACTTCTGGTTACCTTACCATTGTCCCATAACAAAAAAGTAATATTACCGCAGCTAACAACTGCAACTGGTATAAAAAAGAAAACAGATTAAAATGATAAAATAGAAAAGTAGACTGTTATCCTTAAATTTGTCTATTATAGAAAAGTTTCTTATCTCTTTTACTAAAAATACACAAAATATCTGAGAGACCCACTACCTAATGTCATCAAATTGCCTTAGAAAAACACAATTTTTTCTACTCTATTTGTTTTCTACTCTATTTTTGGAAAAATAACTTCATAAAACAGTGATCGATAACGAGAGCATATAACAAACATTCGTTATTTCAATCCAATAACATATTTAAAACATTGGTAATCGGTAAACCCTACCAATGTGATATTTTTTTAAGCAGAAAAATAAAATGAAAAGCTTAAAAACTTACATTTGAACTCCAAAGGATTTTGTATTCCTTCGGCACAATAGAACAATTAGTTTAAGAAGAGACTAAAACGATATGAAGAACTAAGTTATCTTACCAATGTCTCTTAATAATAAGTATCCAGCAAAGTTATTACAATATTATCATTAATAGCTGTAAATAGAACAGAAAACATCTATTATACAAAAAGTAGAGTGTTTTCGTTATTTTTATCTATTATAAAAAGTTTTTTTTTAATATTTTTATTTATTTTGTTATACGACATAAAATTCTTAATTATTTTTATTTATATTAATTCAAACTGTTCATTCATCTTAGAGTGTGGGATTCAAAATCTAATATATATCCTAACTTTTATTAATTTTTTTTTACAATATAATTTTAAATAATATATCCTATATAACTTCATACTTCTTCAACTTTGTATATACTTTTTTAATACTAATTATTTATATATTGATATTATGTAGATGTAAAATCTAAAACTTCATTTTTGTGTTTTGTGTAATAAATTTATGTTTGTATAGCATTTATATTTTAATTCCTAAACAATTCCAAGACATTAGTACAAAATAATAAATAAATAAAAAAAAATCTCGTGATAATTTATTGTATAAATAAAATTTATTTTATATATCTCTCCAACTCCACCTTCCACACCTATAGGAATCAAAAGAGGCTTGCAAGGTAAAAAAAAATAATCAAATAATTTATAATTTTATCAAACTAAATAAGTTGGTTTTTACCTTTTAGTCCTTTGAGAAAGTGCTTGTACAGAATATACAGTTTGGCTTATCACCTCCATTGACGAAAGCTTTGGGTGCCATACAAAGATGGCGCTTGTTACAAGCCGCCTTGCCACATGTAATGCACTGCGTTGCTGCTTTACTGCACAATCGTGTCAAAGATATGCAGGCTATTGGTGCTGTTGAAACAAAATTGCTATACACTATGCAATGGATACTCCTTTATGCAGCTGAAGAATGTGCGGATGATGAGGGTGGCGATGAATTGTTGGGAGAACATGAAAACAAAAATAAGTCCATAGATCAATATTTATTTTCAGTGCCCACAATTACGGTATGTGTTTCTACAATTGAAACTTCTTTATAAACTATGAAAATAATAAGATATTTTCACTAGCTTTTTGTGTACTTGTTTGCGCCAATAATTCATCACTTGAAAGAATCTGATTTTCAAAATTTCCGTTTGGAAAATGGAATTAAATTGTGGCAGGGGATGTGGGATAATCGTGCACCAGGTGCACCTTGTTTTACGGCACCGGTTAAGCCAAAAGCCAGAAATTTACTATGTGCACCTACTCCAAAAGGTTCCACAGATGTATTTCCAGCACGTAAGTATTATATATAATATTTTAATATAAACAATTTACGTATATATGAATAATAATAATACTTAAAAGGACCTTAAAATAGTACTAAATCAAATTCTGAATAATATCTCTCATAATTAAATTAAAAACTTATTTTATAATAATTTAAGCCGATAATTTCCGTGGTGTCACAAGTGGCTATTATTTGTTCTAACTAAAATATGTGTAATAATTTCTTATTTAATTTAATTATGTTAAATAATGCTCTATCACATCATATACAGTTTATATTCTTAAGCGCAAATATATACAATATTTCTCTATACATTTTCAGGCAAGTTTTCGCTAAGTGCCGATCCCATATCGCCAAAAGCCGATTCTCCACCTAGTATACAATCCGAATATAATAAACAAGACGAAGAGGTTTGAAGCCTAAAACTTATCACACTTTTCATTCACTAAGATAATTGAGTTTATTTTAGAGTTCTTGGGTTTCTTCACCAAAAGAATTTGCATTTCCTGAAACCATACCCGAAGAAGCTTCCAGTGTTGAGGATGAACGAGTAGTTATCTTTCGTTTACCTTCGGTTCCACATATAATGGATAATTCATTCTTTACTGTAATCTAAATTATATAAACTATATTTTGTTTTGCTATAATAGAACTCTAAATTTTAGGCTGATGCTAGTCTCCTACAGCAACAACAGAGCCAAAGTCGTCGTGGAAGTCGTCAATCTGTACACTCACGCGATAAAGATAAACAACCTGCTACCAAGTTTGAATTTGATCAACAGGAATTAATGCGTGGTGCATCTATGAAAGGAAAACGTAGTGCTTCAGTTGATAAAGAAACTGAAACTGATAGTATGGATAGTCTAAAAGCAGATATATCTGCAGCTACATTTTTAGATGTTGCCGTACTGCGTTGTCTGTTCATATCGCATTGGCAGGAAGAAGGTATTTTCTGGAGCTTGCAATATATGTATAATAGGTATTATACGTTAATATGTAATACTATTCAATATATAATAAATATAATATTATTACAAAATAGACTGAGTGAAATTGGTGAAGAGGCCGCTATAACACTTAATCAACCACGCAAGCGTTCTAACTCTTTACCTATACCACAAATTGAAATTTCACTATATCAAGGACCTGGCAGTAATAGTCGTGATAGCCCTGGTAGTTCAATTGTTAAGGATTACATTGAAATTCCTGAACCATCTATAACAACTTGTTTAGTCGGTAAGCCTAAATTTTACTATTTACATTTATAAAATATAAATATTCTTATAAAACATTTTATATTTTAGAGGAATCAAATCCATCAGCAGAACGACGCGGTAGTGAGAAGAAGAAGCGTGTTAAAATGGCAGATCTGCGTGCATTTGTCGAGACCAAAATGTTTTCGAAATCCGAAAAGAATCTAGAAAAAGTAGGCCTTGATACTAATTCAGCTAATGGCAAGCGACCACTGCAACATGCAGTAAGATTGAACATTTTGCGCACATATTTCGCACTTGTTGTTTGTTAAATTGTTGTTGTTTAACACAAAGCAGTGCACCAGAAATCCATATCCATAATCTTTATTTAATTGGAAAGCATTCCCTAATAAGCTTTGTTTTTCAAATTCTTAAATAATATATGTTCCCCCCAATTTAAATGTTAATTAGTTACATGTTTTTAATGTTGAATGTTCATGTTGCCTATTTTATATATGTTTTACTTTTAAAAAAATGGCTACGATATTAATTAAATATTTTATTTTTCCATACCTCTAGGAATATCATCGCAGCTTAGATACCGGCGAGAAAAAATTATCACGGTCAGCTTCAATGATAACCCGCGAGCCAGCGAGTAATCTCATCAAAGGAAAGTCCATGCCCAGTTTGAGGTATTTATTCTATATATATATGTGCAGATATAAGATATAATTTAAAGATATAAAGATATAATTTTCTTTTATAATTTTATTTTATTTAAAATTTTTTATACGTATAATTAGAATACATAAATGATTATAAATATTTATAAATTTGAGAGGATAATTGTGTTGAACAAAACTTTGATATAAAATAATTATTTTTATGACAACAACAAAAACTATAGTAGGAACTATAAAAACTATAGTAAAAAATTATCAGTATTACTATTACAAAACCTTAGTACAGATTTGAACATTAGCTGTCCATAACACTGTCTTCCTTACTATTGTCTTCCTTACTATTAGACTATTGTATCTTTAAGTATATATTATACATATATTAGGAAATGTTATATAGAATCTAAGCGTTTCAGTAGAGAGTTTTAGTACAAAAATATATTAATACAAAATATATTATTATTTTATTTTGTAAAATTAAGGTTTTATATTACATACATATTTATATCTACCGACAAATATTTATCTATTAATATTAGTATAAGTAATAACAAAATTATTAAATATTTAAAATAACATACATAGTTCTAACATTGTAACACCGAATAAAAATCAAAAAAATATTTTTTTTATAAGACCACCATCTCTTACAAAATGTTAATTATTTCTACAATAATTACAATAATTCTACAATGTTAATTATTTCAACAATATTTATACTACCTCATTAACAATAATCGTATTTAGAATAAAAATAGTGTTGTAAAAATGCTGAATGTATTTATAGATGTAATAAATGAATCCAGAGACCGTCCCATATAACACAAAAATAATATTGCTCTTACCAGAAATATGTGTTTAATATTTTATTAATGAATTTATTTATCTAGATATATTTTGTCGGTTAGAACTGTACGTCATCATATGCTTACTATAACAGATACTAATAATAATATATTTGTTTAATGAATATACATTATGAACATATATCTGACTATATTTGTTTCTCGATTTCTTCATATAAAGTACTATCTCACTTTAAATCTTAACATCAGCATTGTTTACTCATCTGACCTATTTCAGCCTTGGCCTACTGTAATGTTTTCTTCTAGATATCACCGCAAATAGCTTTTTTTTCTCACTGTTATGTCTTTTTTAACTGTTTTAAATGTTTTTTTTTTCTTTTTCGGAGAGTGCAAACTTATTGCCTTATTGTCTTATATAGTCATTCATGTTTACACATAGAATTTATAATCTGAACATTGATTTTTAAAGTACTGTGAATATTTTGTCTAGTACATACTTACCACCTTAGTTGCTGCCTATACTATATATTAATAATAGTTAATACTATTAAACTTTTCATATTCTGTCCAGCTCATTTCCATATATAGTATTATAAACAATACCCAATTTCACTCAACTAACTGCTACTATAATATTTTTACAACACTGGTTTTATTCAAATTGTTTCATGGTACTATTTTGAATTCCATACAAAGTTTCTTAGATCAGTTTCTTAGCAGTTTTATAATTTTTTTAACCAAGTTTCGATTTTAGATTTTGTTACTGCGAATTTTCCCGAGATGGGGCTGATACTCCTGATTTTAATCTTTTACATCTAAGGCAAGACCTTTAAATTAAGATGTTAAGAACAGAATCCTTTTATGTTCACTTAATTTGAGTGAATAATAATATATGTACTACTACTATATAAATAATAATTTATGCAGTATGTTTATAGACAATCGCTTAATTATATACGCAATCGATTCTACTTGGGCGCTACAACTTAAAAACCATTGACTCAAGTATTTTATATTAAACGGCCTTATAGACATTCTCTATATATCTTTCTTTTAACGTCACTTTATGTATGTATGTATCTTTATGTATCACTCTTTATGTATGTATCTTATTATATCTCTCTTACTATCGCACATTATCTCTGTTTCTCGTTGACCAAAATCAATTTATTTACATGGGTTCGTTACTGTATCTAATCCTTATGGATTAATAGATTAATATTAATAATATAATGTTATGCGTGTTGCACTGTTGTATCCTATAATATTATGCGTACCTGCTCTAACCATAATAAATTTTTCAATATATTATATTATATCTAATTTTCTGTTATATATATATATATTTTTTTTTTTTGATAAAATTGATGCTAAAAATATTACAATAAAACAAATTAAAAAAATAATTAATGCTATAGTATTAATAATAAAATTATCTAATATATACTTTTATGTACTTTATATGTATATACTTTCCATATTATTTAGATAAATTATAAAATTATCCTCCTACGTGTGTATATATACATATATATGTATAGATATAAAAGTTTTCTAACAGATTTTAATCACCTCCTTTCACAATACACTTTTCAGGATATCACATACACAATAATTTTGAAATCTATAATATAACTAAAAGTTTTCAATATATCTTTAATCTTAGTTGCTTAACTTATCTATTAATTAAATCTCTACTTTCTTCCCTACAAATCTTTATTACTCTTTTCTTCAAAATATGTTTAAAAATTATAAAATCCAGCTGTCTTCTTGATAGCGGGTGAGTGTGTTTGTTTAAAGATCTTCTTTTAAAATATATTTAAAGTAGACTACTTGAACCCCACAAAACTCATACAAACTGAACATAACAGTCCACAAACACAATTGTAAATATGTTGAGTTGAGAGTTTTGATACTCGCAGTCAAAATTTTTGCACTTTCACTAATTTGGAAAAAGTTAGATTCCAAGAACAAAGTATCTAAATTCATAAAAATACCCACAAATATAAAATAAACTGTTATAATATGTTTTGTTTTTTGAATATTTAAAGCGTTAAATGCACCTTTAGAATTTTTAATAATCAATTTAACCAAGACCAGTTAATTGTTGCTTTTGATGTTATATTTACAGTAATCATATTCAATATATATTATAAGGCTTTTAATTGTGTTTACAGCTTGAAACTATTTAAACACAAATTTATATTAAAAATTTTAGCGTAATGCCACATGCCTGCACCCTTTGAGCCATTTTTCACTAATTATACAAATTTTACATTTGTTCAATAAACAAGATTTTACAGATATGTAGAACCGCCTAAAGCTATGCGACCATCACAATCGAGTGGACCACGCACAGCATTCTATCCACGTAACCCCATAATTACAGTGACAGAGCATACACCGACACCTTCGCCGGATTATCTAAAGCGACAGGTAAAGCAAATATCTTTAATTAGTTTTCTATACATCCATATAATAGGCGTTATTTTTACATATAGGGTTCTATTGACTCACAGCTGGATGCGCTTAGTAATGGTGGCAGTATCAGTGGCTATGGTGGTAATGGTGGCAGTGGTAGTGGTGGTGCACCTACTGGTAGCAGTAGCGCACGTTTCCGTGGGCAAATGTTGCGTTCGCATACGGATTCACATATAGATTATACAGGCGTTGATGAATCTGAAGCACCGGGCTCCTCTTTTTATATTACACGTGATGGCGGTATTGATTATGAAATTGTGCTACTAGCGGTTTACAATGTTTTTAAGAGAGACATGACTATCTGTTCACTGAGGGTACTGGAAGCTGGTTTAAATATTTGCGAACTTTTGTTAGAAATGGGTGTATTGAAATTGGGTGGTCATGCACATGAAACTGCTATGGGTATTATTAGAAGAGCATTACTTATTTTAGGTTGCCCAAATGGTTGTAATGATGGTAAGAATTTATTTTATTTTTTATTATAATTTTTTTTTATAATTTGTAATCATTTTTACTTTCATTTCTTTCAGGGGTGCGTGGTCCTCCAGCAGATTTCCTACGTAACCAATGCCAGAAGATACTTTCTCGTATGCTACGTCAAGCAAATCAGCGCACAAAACGTTACTTGCAACAAATGGTGAAAACAACGCAGCTTCAGGAGTTAATCGATTTCTTCCACGCTTTCGTGGCATTCTGTGTGGATCCAAGCTCTCTCTTATCACCGCTGAGTAAGTTGTATGCTATATATACTTAAGTCTGGAACAGTTTGCTTTTAGATTAGAATTTGAATCGTATCATATAAGTTACATGATTTGAAGATGATGCAAGTATAGGCGGTAATGTAGGTGCACTCCCTTTACTTTTCATTTAAGACTCAAACTCCAATTTGGACTTTTCAATTATTATTTTACTCCAACAATAGCAACTAACTGACACTTTTATATCTGTTGTAATATGTATATGTATATGTATATCATAGATATATACATATACTTAGATTTTCATTTTATTTCTTTAATTTATAAAAATTCTTATTTTATTTAAGTTCTGCTATTGCATGCTCGACAAGAGAATGGCTTCTTAAAACAGCTTTTAAAATCATGTCCATCACACCACACCTGAATAGATTCGAACTAATCACTCATTAAATCATTAAAGCTTGTATATAAAAATAAATAAAAAAATTTTAGATTGTATTTGCATGACTTTAGTTTGAGTTATATTTTTTTTTCGTTTTCGTTACGTTACCTTTATCTTACGTTGACTGTACCCCTGTGAAAACCACACACCAAATCTCGTTGTATGTACAAATGAATATGATGATAGCTCATAAACGTACGAGTGGATTAAAAAATGTTAACACCGATCTTGGCGGTGGTATATCATCATCAGGCGGTCAGGGTGGATACTCAACCAATTTCAGTGGAGGCCTAAGTGGTGGACCGGAATCTCAGGTTATAGCTGCCGTATTCAAGCCATTGGTTACACGTTTTGTGGATGCTTCCAAGGATTTGAAAACAGCTGAAAATACTCCATTGTATAGTGATGTTAGACAGTTGGTGACATATGTAAAGGGTGCACATGGCGGACCTTTCAGATTGGTAGCTTTGAGTGGCATTTTGGCTGTGACACCACGTCCCCACAAGAAGGGACCAATATCACAAACTACAAGAGTAATAAGGTGAGAGTTTCTGAAATTACGAAAAGACATATTATGTATAATAAAATTATATAAAATAATATACTATATATTTTATAAAATGTATATCAGATACAATAGATGTCCAATTTAACAAATGGCTTCTAGTCCATTCGTCAAATCGAATGAATATATTAAACAAGGAAATATAGCTTTTAGTTTTAACTATTATTTTTTCTAAAAACCTAATGATTTGGTATTTATATAGTTCTGCTTTTAGTTTCATAAAATCAAGATTTTAGTGTAATATCTCTTTTTTATATTAGTCCATTGAAGGGTATATTCATGGGGTATTTATATTATATGTCAAATTTACATGCAGGACGGTTTTTGACTGCTACACATCTCTAAATGAGTTGTTGACGGAGTTTAACATTTCTTTACACTGGGTTCCCAGTCATAGGGATATTTTCAGCAATTACAAACAAGCTTACCCGACGGGGTGTCTCAGTTAACCAATCTGAATATCAGATGGATCTGGGCATACCACTGGTTGTTAAACCAGACAGTTATTAAAATCTTTCTATATTGAGCAATTTAATGCTAGGCGAAAAGATGTAATAATATGTAGATATTCATATATAAGTTCTGTCAAGATATAATCCAGCAACCTCATTGAGACGCCCTGTAAAGACATCATAATACCTTACTCTGATATCGGGGTAGGATATAGTATCATTAGCCTAGCATAAAGATATTATAATAGTTTTATTGATAATCCACAGCAGTTTAAGGGACCTTGCTAGAAAATTGAATGTTCCATTTAATCACTTCTATCGCAGTTGTTAGGAGGACGACAAAAATGCCTCACATCTGAGTTGTTACTGTCCAGCGGATACGCAGCGGTGATTAACTATGCTAGGGGTTTTCTTTTTTGGTTTTGGTTTTTGGGTTTTTTCAAAAGACCATTTATGGTTTTGCCAAAACATCAAGAAAGTTTTTAAGTCTTTCAGTTCTTAAATGGTAGCACAGAGGGCACAGAGGGCCGAAAATCTAACCTAAGGTGTTATTCGTAATTTTTTTGTAATATTATTTGAGTTGAGTATTCATTATATTGGACGTATTCTGAAAACAATAATGCATTAATAGTAATATTTATTTTATTATATTAGTTAACTTAAAATTATTTTTTTATATACAACAGACATATACCACAAGCTGAGATCTCCCAAAATATAACAAACGATGATAATCGCTCACAACGAAGATTTTTATTAAAAAAACGCAGTACTTCATCGGCCTGTGCAGTGGTAAGCAGTTCACTCTATTAAAAACTTTACTAATCAAAAATTTTTATAGAGCCTCCTAGAAACAGAGCCTTGCGAAGAGCATTACAAAACAAGCCAATCACCGTTAAGTAATTTTCGACGACGTACTACCGGTGTCAGACCTACACTTACACCACGTCATAGCGAACGTGCACTATTATCTGATTCAACTTCAAGCTCTGAACGCAATTCACTTGGTCGTCTCAGTGGGCTAGTGCGTTGGTTTCGTGGTACACCTAAAGAGGCTTCATCGATTGATTTGGAAATCGGTTCACTAAATCCTGAAATCACATCAACTTTTATTAGACATGCTTCACTTAAAATACAACGTGGACGTTCTAGTGAAGGTATTGGACGTTCTATACAACGAGCAAAACGTCGTGTAGAACGACGTCTAAATCGTTTTGGCGGTATTGTTAAGGGTAAGAAAAAAGTTGGTGGTATTGAAGAAACTGCAGACTATAGTCGACGCAGTTCATCTGATATGTGTGATGGTCCACGTGAGTCGGAAGTTGTGGTATTAAAAGAACGTAAATTAATACCTTTAGAACCAGTACGTTTGGGCATGTTGCGTTTATCATTCTTATTGGAGACTTGTGCACCAGGTTCATTTCCAGATCCACAACTGGTAGCAGCTGTTTTAGATTTGGTTAGTGTATATATTTATGTTATTTTATAATGTATATAAAGGTATAAAATTATTTTTTTAGCCACAAGCACCACTTGTAACGCGTGCTACTTTTCTATTGGAATGCGCTCATTTTGTGCATCTTTGTAATAAAGGACAATGGCCAGCTTGGATGAAGCAGAATGTTGGTGGTTATAGACAATCTGGTACGAATATTAATGTTAACCAAACAAAACAACAAATGAGTACGACAAGTACTAGAAGAACACATATACTGCAGCGAGCAGCTGGGAAAATGTTTCATCAGGTAAGTGGCTATTATGCATTTTTATGAGAATACAGGATTATGTCCCCTGTAACGTAAACTTAATTCGGATGATTCTTAATGTCACCAGTTTTTATTTATCTTTCCAAAGCGGTTAAAACCTATTTAAATTTATATTCGAAAAAAATACTGTTGTGATTAATTAATTAGTTTTATTTATTAAAGGGATTTAATGTTAAAACATGATTGATTCAAACCTAATAATGAATCATTAGTATTATTACCCAGCATTAATTTTATAATTTAATTTTTCTGATTTAAATATATTTAAGTAATTAATTATAAGCATTACTGATTCAAATCTAAAAATAAATTAAATGCTAACGCGACCAATACTAAATATTTATATGACAAATCTGTATAAGTAATAGTTTTAATACCTCCGATGATAATTATTCAATTCTCTCCGAGAGCCAAGCTGCCATTAAATCACTGGTAAGCACCTCAACTTCATCAATTATTATACAAAATTGTCGTGCTTCCCTCAACGACATAGCTAGGTGTGCTAATGTCCAGATAAGTTCTGGGTTCCTGGTCATAAGGATATTCTGGGTAACTGTAGGGCGGATGAGCTTGCCAAGACTAGAGCTCTTCTCCCTGGAATTTACTCATTAGAAATTGGCGTTCCACTTGCATCAGCCAAACTAGCAATTAAACAAAAATATCTAAGCATTGCCAAACAACAATGGGCGAGTGAGTCCAGTTGTCAGATTTTTAGGTCGATTTGGTCTAACTTGGACAAAAAACATACGAGTCAGCTGCTACAACTAAAGAGGAATCTGTTAGCACTAGAGTATCGGTGCTAACGGGTTACTGCCTAATAGAGAGGCATGCTATGAGACTGGCTTTTCCTTATAAAGACCTTTGCCGCGGTCGTGGCTCTGAGGAGTAAGAGAAAATTGTGTTCCATCTCATGTGCCAGTGCCCATCTTTAGCCAGAAGAAAATCAAACATCTTAGGGGCCCCTTTTCTGACCGATCTGACTGAGCTGTCATCCTACAATGTGAGGGACCTACTAGATTCATAGAACTGTCGGGTTGGTTTACCTTCACCTAATGGGGGAGTCGTTACCTTTTTTGGGCGTTGGTCGTATAGTGATCGCTTTGTCTATATACGAATATCGCTTTTTCCTGCGGTACCACAACGGGGCATTATTTGTGCTTACGTGGGCTTTTTTTGTAAACAAATCCGCCACTCCAACCTAACCTAGCCTAATATTTTTGAGTATATTAAAGTGAGAGTTCCAGAGAAATTATTTTCTTGGGGCCATTATATATTCTTTTAATATGTAGATATAATTTTATTTAAATTTATAATACATTTTGCTTAGCTAAAAATTTACACATTTAGAGATAGTTTTGTTATTTTTAAACGGAATAAATTTCGTTATTAATAAATATTATTGATATTAATTTTTAGATTCGATATTTGTTTTTTTCTTAATAACTGATAAAATTACATGGTAAAAAATCTACTTAAAAAAAATAGACTAATTAAAAAATAGACTAAACTAATACTTATTAAGTTTGTATTGCTATTTTAATACTACTAAAAAATTTAATACACAAAAATTACCAAAGTTTCCCTAAATCATTTGATAAATAAAAATAAAAAAAATGTTATAAATATATAATTAATAAAAAAAAAATAATAAAATAAATCCGACGAGGATGGGATTCGAACCCACGCGTGCAGAGCACATTGGATTAGCAGTCCAACGCCTTAACCACTCGGCCACCTCGTCATATAAAAATGAATACACAATGTAATACTTAAGTAAAATTCAATAAGAACAAGAACAAAATTCACGTATATACACACATACACAAATAAACAAACATAAAAAAGCTTAAACAATAATATTTCCATTTAAGGGTTAAAAATAGAAAGTATGTTATTTGAACTTAACACCACAAAAAAAATAACAACAAAGAATAAATAAGAATATTTTATTTTTTGTTAATTTACAGTGGGCCGAAATGATTGGTGCACGTTTAGAAGAAATTCTTTTTACCGAGCGTTTACAGTTTGAATCATTAAATGCAAGCTTAAGTGATCCGGATAAACAACGCGAACTACTACAACAAGATGAAGAAGAAGACTTTTTGGATGAAACTTCAGTGAATCCACACGGAAACGATTGTCCACATGCTTTGAAATTAATAGCTTGTGTTTTACTTTTCGAAATTACCGCATTTCTAAGAGATACGTATATATTATTACCTAAAGCTTCGAAACTATTGCACAAAGATAAGCCGGCACCGTGGGAGAAAGTATATCGTGAGGCGAATCGTCGTTGGTCTATGGCTTTAAGTTCTATGGGTCATTCACAGACATCAGCGCAAAGCTTACAGTCGATTGCTGCCGGAAATGAAGGTGGAGGTAAGTTAAAATTTTTGTTAAAGTTTAAGATTGGTTAATAGAACAAAATTATATTTTATATAGGCGGTCAAACTGAACGTAAAATATCATTTGTACTACATGAACCAGATAATGAATCTGAAAATAGTAGCAACACTACATTAACTAAAGAGGGAGAGGAAGGTAAGCTTTTTCTGAAAATATTACAAATGTCAGTTAAAATTTAAAGGTTATAGAATAGAATTACTTTCTTAAACAAACAATCGCGTTGATGTTAAAATTATATCTAAAAATAATATCTTATAACAATATAGACTAATTATTAGTTCTGCCCTAGGCTAATCTTACTTTGTGTAGTAACGCTAAAGTTAGGTTATGCCATGCTTCCACTGTCTCATTCAGGCAATTTAGCGCATTAAGGCTACAAATGAGAATAATTTACCATACAAAGAGCTTTCATATAAATAAGCTCATTAAAAATAAATAAATTTGAAGCAAGAGATGTCGAATGCAACCATTAAAAATAAATTTCCCAAAAAAAAATAAGAACGAAATTTAAAATATTTGTCAAGTGTTTTACATGTAAAATGTAAACATATATAAATCAGCTTATACCAATGGAAACAACCAAATTTTAATCTCACTAACAAAAATAGTTTAGCTGCAGTGGAAACATTAAGTTACATGTTAACTTTACTTGACTTTTAGTACATAAACTACTATAAAAATCAATTTTTGACATTAACAAATTGAAAGCTGTTTTGGACTGAAGCAAAAGTCGAGATTGATGGAGGAATTTTTTGATTTTCTTGCATCTATAGACATACCATGTTAAATCAGTTATTCTAGTGTGGAGCGATTTTGACGAAATAGGTAGAAAATGGACGGATTAAAAGCAGGTTTCCTATTAATAATTATTATTGCATCATATTTCGTAAAGAAACCAGAAACATAGATAAATGAGCACTACATTGGAATACAAAAGAAACTCAATAGCAAGTGTTTAAGCCAAAGCGTGGAGAACGACATGAAGATCTTGAATTATACATTCAGTAAAGAGCAACTTGAAGCTTCTAACACGATTCAATTTAGAAAAACTGTTGAGATCCTATGCTTATACGATCTGATAGTAAGTGATAGTTAATGTTAGCAGTGATACTCATAATAGTATGAAAAACATTATTATTATAGTGATCTTTCGAAAAACACCAATCTTAATGAGGATTAGTCATTTTTGAGATATTGAAACAAGCACAAGTTGTTTAATTGTACTTGCCGTAACAAGTACCGTGAACTTCTTCTTATGAAAAATTGTTGAGTTGAGTGGTAGTAAAAATATACAAAAATACTTTTATTGTTATCCATTGAAATATAATTTTCCAAAACTTGTTCTTGTTATAGTCACCTGTTTTTACCCAGCTCATGCAAGACGGCGACTCAACACTTAAGGAGCCCCCTTTCTTGAGAATCTTGATCAGTTACAAGATCTCACACTATACAATATTTTGAGCATTGCTATAGGATCCAAGTGATTTTAAACCTTGAGTTTTTCTATATATACGGTAACACAATAGGCCAATAGGCCTAAGTGGATCCCCTAGTTATCGCCTTCAAACTTTCATACTTTTAATGAAGATAAATCATTTTTAAGATATGTTTCTCACTTGAAAGTATGTTACGGGAAAATATTTGTTTGATATGCTATATCACGGCAAATATTGAGAAATTATATTATTTTCCATACAATTTCTACCATTTCTTGGACTTACATATAGTTTGCTAAATTCTCCTTTTAATTAGAAATACTCTATTTAAATATATAAATTATTTTGTAACATCTACTATTAATCTAAAATCATAAGAACTACTTTATAAACACAGTGAAAGCTCCCTTCAGTGAAAGTTGATGGGAGCAGCAATTCAGTTCTGTTAAAAAATACATTTTGCATCAAAAGTCGGGACCATTAAGAGATACTCATTTAATTGAGCTTTCACTGTACTTTTAATATTTTCAATTTTAGTTTAAAACATTAATAATTAATTATATTTTAGCTCGACGTCCTACAGCTTCTGCAGTACGCCCATTTTTATTACGACGTGGTACGGCAACAACCACCGGTGGTTCTTTTAAGCGTAGATCCTTAAAACTAAGACGAAACACAAAAGATGGCAAGGATTTGGAAGCAGATTGTAAATATACATTTTCCATTATAACTAGAAAAAAACTTTGATTTATATTTAAATTTTTTATAGTCAAACGTGTTGACTCTATACAATCACGACGAAAAGTATCCTCTTTATCTGATCGTAGTGACACTTCCGAACAAGGTATGGTGAGTGGTGGTGAAGAATCTCCAGGTATATTAAGCGATGATCAACAGCCGGAATCTCCGACGGATTCAAACGAAACTGACGATACAGCTAAAAATATGCCCTGGCTTAAAGCAATAATAGATATTATAACAAGTTATAATTATTATTGTACTCATAAAGGGTTCTGTCATCCTTATTGCTACAAACGACATATGAGAGCTTGTTCACGTCTTATCAAGGCTGCGCGTAAAGTAAGTAAAATTTGAGCTTTGAAAGTAATTAAAAAGTAGTTAAAAAGCTTAAAGTTGCAAAATTAACTGAGACCTCCAATCCTAGCGCTCGCCTCTTTAGCTCAGTGGTAGAGCACTGGTCTCGTAAACCAGGGGTCGTGAGTTCAAACCTCACAGGAGGCAACAGAAGCTTTTTAACTTAACTCGATTATAGCTATCTGCCCGACATATATAAATTTAACTATTTTTTAATTATAATTATTATAATTATATGAAAAGGTTTATGGGGAAGAGTTCGGTTATACATTTGATGCTGATCACCCAACTGTAGAGCCAAGTACATCGGCAGCAGCAAAAGCACATCAAACAAGACCGCGTTCAGCACGTAAAGTCTCTGAACAAAGCTCTACACAAACTTCACCATCTAAGCGCAAGGATAGCCTATGTAAAAGAGATCGGTTAGTTAATTCATTTCGCAAAATATTATTATTTATTATTTATTTTCAACGTTCAACGTTCATTTTAGTATTAGTGATGAACCTAATGTAGACATGGCTGAAAAGTTAGCTAAAGCTTTTCGCCAGGAAAAAGAGAAGAAGGATCAAGAAGAACCACATATCCTTAAATTTTTACGTTTTCATATACGCAGTTTATTTCATTATCCTTTTGCTACTATGCTCAAGGGTGCGGTTATACTGACCGAAGAAATGGTTATTGAAGCTATGCCAGCTGCTTGGGAATTACTGCTTGAACCTAATCAGGACACAGCATCTGCAAGTGCGGCAGTATTTTTGATGGGCTCAGTTAAAGCACAAAACTTTGCTTTTGATATAATGCAACGTGCTCTGAAGAATAAAGACCCAGATATACGTATAGGTGCCATACAGAGGTTCGTTGTTTTGTTTCGATATATTCTATAAATTATATTGATGGTTTATTTTTCAGATACTTAGTACTTTGGAAGAGTCGTTTCCATGTTTGGCCACGCATGGAAGATAATGCACATGACTTTACATTTAAAGTACCACCTGGAGGTATTGAATTCACTTTGCCATCACCTAAAATTGGCATTGAGAGTTTACCAGTCGTAGATCCACCATGGTTACCAGTACAACAAACGAAAGATATGGACGTTACACTAAATCAAGATCGACATGTAATTATTGTTACTTAGTATTATATCTTTATAATAATTAATTATATAATTAAAATTTAATTAAATATTTAGCGTTCTCTTGTCACTGCTACAAAAAGTCGTAAGATGCAACAAACTGAAGCTATACGTAATGCCTTACGTCAGCAACGTGATAAACAACGCGCAGAGAGACATAGTTTTCTGATTACAACGATACCAATTAATCAACAAGCTTCGCATGAACCTGGCATGGAGCATGAGGATCATGAAATTGAAGTTGAAGATTTGGATGGCACACGCATGTCATCACATTTGCATCATGCACATTCCTTGTTTCCTTCAGTGTTATGCTCTTCCGTCATGCAAATTGTGAGCTGTCTTGATGATGCCGCTATAGGATCGGATGGAAATGCAGTTTACGAAATTGCTTATGGGGTAAAGTAGCCTTCCCTACAGAAAATGTAGACTAGGATTAAAGTATTCATTCATTTAAAATTAATTTTTTATAGGTTATCTGGGTTTGTTTGGTTGAAGAATCTGCACTATTTTTGCGTTACGTATTCGAACGTTTGACACGTGATCGACAGGATCAAATGTTTAAACTGCTACGTCATCTAATAAGATTTGTGCCTAGACTACCACAACAAGCCGCCTTTGCTTTATATAACTCCATAATTGGTTACATTATGTTCTATGTCAGATCATCAAATGAACACAAACAAGAAGTAAGTTCAATTAAATTAAATATAGGGATTAAACCTTATACTAGGTTTATTCCTATAGCGTGTGATGTTATAACTTTATAAGAGTAAATATTCAACAAATAAAAATTTATAAAAAATTATCCTTTTTCTATATATTTACCCATTTATTTCTTCCAGCTCGTTGGTTCCGCACTGTCAGTTCTTTGGATGGTAGTGCATAGCGTACATGGTATTATGTTTAAAGACCTGAAACAAATATTGCGTAAGGAACAATGTGATGCTTCCATACTACTCACAGCAAATGTACCTGCAGCTAAAAAAATAGTTGTACATGGTCCCACAGATGATGACTGCAATATACCCTCACAATTTCCAGTACAAGAGGATACACTATTCTGTCAATTATTAAAAGAAGCCTTAGACTATTATCCAGTGGATGAGAAAAATTTAACCCATTATTGTTTGGTTGACTATAAAAGCAGTAAGTTAACTTCAGCCTTCACCGTTCATCCATAAAGATGTTTTAGAACTATTACATGATTATAAACACATAAAAAATATTTACAGATAAGATACTTAACCCGAACTGGTATATACGTGATCTTTACTTTTTTAAACGTTCGCAATATCCTGAAGTACGTTTGATGCTAATGAAACCGGACGAATCTTTTCTAGCTTTACAAAAACAGGAATTGACTAAAAAATTTGTGGAAATCGGAAAAGTACATCTAACATGGGCTATATTGAAAAACGTAGATATGGTGGTACAACGTGTGGTATTTTTGCATGAAGAACTTATGAAATTGCCTTCGTTTCCACGTAAAGCCTTAGAAGTTGATTTGGATTTAAATCATGGCGGTGAATATGGCAAGGTAAGTATTAATAAAATATTAGCATATGAAGAAGGTAACCTTTTTATTCTTCTTTCTATGATTCTTTTAGGTACTTCTTGGTCTGGATGTGCTGCATAAATTTATGTGGGTACGTTTGATAGCACGCATGTTTGAAGCTATGGCTGGCAATTTTGCCTATTCGGCAGATATACAACTATTCTTAAATGTACTTTCTGGTGCAGCTATATTACATGCTGAAGATTCTTGTATAATGCGTTATGTTATGGCTACATATATTAATGCTGCTTTTAACTTCAAAAACATATTCTCCACTAATGGTTACTTTATGATTATGCCGACTCTCTTACAAGTTTACTCTCTACATCAAACGAATAAACTTATAACAACGACGATTGAATATGCGGTCAAGCAGTTCTATTTATTGAATCGTAAACCATTCATATTACAAATGTTTGGTTCAGTCTCAGCTATTTTGGATACTGATGAGGATGGTACTTATGGAGAAGCACACAAAGTGAGTTAAATTTAATCGAAAATTAAAATATTTTATATATAATTTTGTTAATTTTATAGGTACAATCAAGCTGCTTGTTTAACTTACTTTTGAGTTTAGAAGATCCCTCACCGGATCCTTTAAATATTGCTGAATTGGTGAAGGAACCAAAACCACTGAAAGCCATCGATTTTTGTTATCATGATGAGGACGGTGATGTTACTGTTCTAGATTGTATCACATTATGTGTTATGGTAGTTTCTTATTCAGCTGAAAGCACTAGAGGATATCAGATGCTAGTAAGTAATGGAATAAAGAATATGTTAACAAATCTAATTATATTAGAGCAGTATCTTATAGTTTACCACTCATGAAGATGACCATAATCAAAGTATTTGATAATTAACCCTATTTTATTTTGAATTATTTTGAAACTTGCTTACTATCAATTAATGTGTTATTTATCTAAACCTGAAAATGTTTAGTCCGATCTCACAATAAGACATTGTTCTATATATATGACAATAGTTCTTATTATACATTAATATCTTTTTTAACTTTTAGCTTAAAAATAAATTCAAAATATATATTTTCATATGTGACTATAATTCTATTAAATTATCAACACAATGCATTGCTAAGCAAACATTATCTTATAATCCATACAATAAAACTAACTTAATCTATTTAAAAAATTGGGCCAAAAAAAAAATTTATGTAATTAAAGAACTTTTACTGTACTTGAAAGATCTATACATCAATCTTATACGACCAAAGTAAAACATACACACACCTACGACACTTGTGTCTGGTGGTTCTCATAAAATAAATCTATTACTTTAACTCGATTTGCAGCGAACCAAAATAATCTTCAATACTTATACCAAGAATAACATTTCTGCAAGGTAAAAAAATATGACTTTCTTGCAGAACGTGCTATATCTTTTATATATAATTCCAAGTACCTCAGCTTTACACATGTGAAATGTATAATTATAATATACTTTTATAAAAATTATTTTATTATCAAAAATATATATATGAACATAATAATAACTCAACATTCTCAATTCTTAGATAATTCTGGAAGCCATATTACCTTGTTATCTTCAGCAAATACAATCTCCCAGCTACATACCATTGCAAGGAAAATCGGAAAGAGATATTATACTGCAGCTTGCTGTAGCTATACGTACTATGGTACACAATTGTGAAGGTTTAGCTAAAAGCTACAACGGTCCATATCGTAACAGTCCAGAGCATAAAGGTTCATCACAACGAAATTGTAGTCGTGGCCCACCTTGTTCACCCGGCTTGGATTTCGAAGAGGAATCACATTCCAAATATATTAGCGATCCACGCACAAAAAATATGATTGATTCAGGTGAAGATTCGGAGATGATACGTACCGAATACAGACGTCCACGAGATGTGTTACTCTCCGTGGTTGGTGATTTTCTGAGTAAATCGACTACACGCCTACAAGAACTCTCAAAGAAATTACCGAACGATAGCAAACCAACTGAAGTACTTGACGCTAAATGTCATATACGTTTAGCAGATATAGCGCATTCATTACTGAAAGTCTCACCATATGATCCCGAATCTATGGCTTGTCGTGGCTTACAAAGATACATGCAAGCTATATTACCGCGAGCCGAATGGTCTAATGATGCTTTACGCAATGCTTTAGTAACCATATTACGCAGAATTGATAAAGTATTCTTAAAAATATCCAAAAAGCCATCAATACGCCGCAACACAGATTGGGAAGCAGCAGCTGGACTGCTGAAAGGCATACACGAAACTATTGTACGTCATCCTTATGTGTTGCATTGGCAACAAATGAAAACTTTAATTAGTACCGTGCAAAATCTTATTGTCAATGAACCTGGTTCAGCGGTACCAGAGGGTGTATCAAGCGCAGGTGCTGCTCTCATGTCTCAGAATCCTCCCGCCTTCTTCTGTTCAACTGTAGTCCGTTTAGTTGCTTTACAGGTCGTCAGTCCTGTTGATTGCTTTTCATTGGTGCAAATATGTGGTGGTAGTACTGAATTTGCCACACAAGAGAAGGCTGAAGGTTTTCTAATGCATTTGATTATGCCACTGTGCTTGAAAGTTTGTTCTGGACGTGGTGTATCCGATATAGGAGAATTAAAAATGGCTGATGTGTCCTTTCTGTTGACTGCAGTGTTAAATGCTATGAGCCCACCGGCTGGTCGTACTGGACAAGCAGTATCACAGATTAACCGTGTGGGTGGCGATTTACGTGCTGGTTCGCTGACTTTTACAGGTAGTCGCGATGCAAAACGTCCAGCAAGAATATCAGGTTCTCTATACCAGGCAGCATTTCTAGCGCTAAGAATTGTATGCATTTGCTTTGAAAATCGTTTATCAACAGAATGGCCGCGAATTGTAAGAGTTATGCGTGATTTAGGACGACGCAATGAAGCAGCTCCGGACTTATGGAGTTTCTTAGAATTTGTAGTAACACATCGTACACCATTGTACATAGTGCTTATGCCATTTATATTGCATAAGGTAAGAATATGATCTAAATGTGGTTTATTTATTATAATTTGTTATAATGTAAATAGATTGCACAGCCACCAATTGGTGATCATGAACGACACATGCAGTTCATTATAAGAGAACGGTTACGTGGTACACCACCACAAGGTGGCATCAAATCTAAAGGTGCTTTATTACTAGAATTGGCTAGAGAGCTAAAAGACTTACGAGATGAGTTAGAGGAAAAGCGTTACGGTAAGTAATCTATAGAAAAAAAAACAATTTAATATCCTTACATTAATGAGAAAAAAAATTATTTATTTACAGATCGTGAAAGTTCAGAACAGAAGAAAAGTGATACACCAATTGCAGCAAGCGTTGCAGATCCACATAAATCTCAACAACGTCCCTCATTAATATCAATTTTTACTGGTACCACAACTGGTCAAATAACACATTCACATGTCTCAGCTGTGCCCATTGATTCGCGAAGCGGTTCAGGCGGTATATGCACACCAAGTGATACACTTTCACAACAAACTTTACATCCGCCGAGAGAATCACTCTCAAGCAGTTCTACGGGACGCGAACATCATACAAGTGATAGCCAAAGTGGTGAAAATGCAGCAGGTTCTGCACCCACACTTGGACACACAACTATAACTGGTTCTAGTCATGCTACGAGTTCAACGATAGCATCGGCTTTACCACCAGGCATTGCATCTCAATTATCACATTCACAGTCCTTGCAACAAGCGCCATTTAAAGCACAACCACCGAAATTACGTTTTGTTTCTTCTGTTGAATTCCGACATTCATCTGGTGAAACTTCAACTACACCTTTGTCACCGGAAAGTCCTGCGGAAGATAGCTCTGGTGATCATACACGTTCACGCTTACAACGTTCAAAGGCATCTAGTCGTAAAACGTTTAGGTTGAAACGCAGTCGCTTAACACCGATGGAACCTCCTAGTATTGTAAGTATTTTTTTGTTTATTTAAAAAATATAAAGTAATAAGGTGACATGGCATTACTAAGAAATTTAACATTATGGACACAAAAACGATTTCTATAGGAAAGAGATATCCGCTATAAAGCATTATATATATTTCTAATTTATTGAAATTTAGCTGATCATACAACGCTGTATTGAGTATTGCCAAATACTCATCATCAGTGGTCTTAGAAATGATAATGCGAGCATAATTTCAATAAATTAGCTAAAAAATTTTGTTGTTGTCTTTTCATTTCTATTCAAACCCTTCTAACTTTTAAATAGTTTTTTTTCGTCACTTTTGACAAAAAAAATTAATATTATATATATTTCTTTTTATTTCTAATTCGATACACTGTAGTTCAGTTTTTAAGTGCTTCAAAGCACTATTAACAATTCGGATATTGGAACCATTCGGATATAGTCGAACTCTAACATTGAAATCAAACATTTTATGTTTATACATATTCATTCAAGTTGCTCGAATATATTCATATTACATTTTTGAATAGCTTGCACTGCATAGTCACACATCTAAATGCTCTACACTTCCAATAATATTTAAAAGATTAAATATACACACATATTATAAGACTGTCTTCAAGATATATAAAAATCTAATATATCATTATATCCATGTACTCGTAGATCTTCCATACTAATAATCATTTTTCTTAATTGTAGGTTGCCGCACTTTCTCAGGAAGAACATCCGAAAACAATTGGTGAAATATCTTGGGATTCAGTGTCACAAACTTCTTCCACATCTGGCTATCGAGATAATAATAGTTTACAGACTGGGCTTCTATCACCAGATGGTTCGTTGGGTGGTATGACATTGGGTCGCTCACCATCACAGCATTCACTCTTAATGGTATTCGAAGGACAAGATGAAGATACTCTTATATAACAAACATTTGATGATGAAATGCAAGAGTAAATGGAGCTAAGAACGGATTCGAGTAGATAGTTAATATAGGAAAATTTTTTTTAGAAGAATATAATTGAACGAAGAATATCAGAAATTTGCAGAATCGTTATATATTGGAATGCAAAAAAAGTATATTAATTCATAGAAAATGATATTTTATTAAATCTATTAAATATTCAATGTTGTTTATGTAACAAATACATATGTATTTAGTGTTAAGTTTAAGATAGTATACATATATATAGTGAAATCGTTGTTAATATTAGATATTTTGTATAATTTAAATGTGCCGAATGATAAGTAACATATTTCTATTTTATTCAGAATGCTCTACTATAATAATTTTGTACTTTTAAACTTTTTTTATATTTTAAGTACAAACAAATGGCGATGTATTAAATGTTATTGTCACAAAATATATATTAGCAAAATTATTAAATAAAAGTTGATATAATAATGTACCACAATCAAACTTACTGAGCTACATTATCATTTTGTTTATTATCTGCTGCCTTTTTACGATTTTCTTTTACTAATTTGCGCCATTCTAACCACTTGGCAATATCAGGATTTTCAGCATTGCCTCGCTCCTCCAATAGCATATAATACGACTCACGTAACATCTTAAAAACTTGTATACTATAATATGGAGTTTTCACAATAGGATCATAATATTTTGCGGGTAATCTGGCAGAGTAACAAAAGCATTATTAAAAATTACTAGCATATCATCAATATTAAACTTACTTTGTTATTGGGCAAATATTGTTAATAGATTTCTTTGCTGAATTTGGTTTGAAAATTCCGTTGAAGACATTTTCATCTAAATCATTTTCAAATGTAATAAATGTGCGTTCATTTAGTACTGCGGGACTGTTAGATTCTGAAGTTGTTGGTTTTTCATTTGTGGACGTACGAGTTTCTGGCATTAACATGGAATGGTAACGTATGACAGGACCTTGAAAAGCACGTTTAGTGGGACGAGCTTTCTTTTTCTCTAATTCCATTTGTTGATAGCGTTCTAAAAGTAAATTTTTGAACAATAAATAATATTAAAATAAATACTCACAAAAAAAATTTACAAAAAAATGCATAGAAATAATTTAATACATAAAGGAAATATAAATATAAACCTAATGATTTAATATTTTCCTCCTCAGTTATTTTTGCTTCCTCCAATAACTCTTCTTGTGTTGGCATATGCTCCTCTACTCTAATTTTCTTTTTCTTTCTTTTACGCGCATCATCCAATTCCTTTAGACGTATTTTTGTTGCTTGCGTTTTAATTGCAGTTGATGCGCGTATTGATTTTCGTCCAGAATCTAGTACAGTATATTTGCCACGTATTCTTTTATTGACTACCTTTGCAACCTTTTTCTTTGCAGCCGCGGTTGCTGCTGTTACTACTGCCGACTTATTTTCTTTTTTTACTGCAGGTTTAGGTTCCTAACGAAGTAAAATTTGCAATTAATTATAACTGCTAAACAAAATTTGTTATAAATATACTTTATATGCTTTAGTATTGATACCACCGCGTTTGCGCTTTTTCTCAGGTTCGCCATCATTATCCGAGACAGGTTCATCAGCTTCATCAATACTAAAATCAGAATCTACAACATCCTCTTCTTCATCTCTTTGTCTGTTATTGAAATATATTATAAATTATAATAAAATATATTAGAAATACTTGGAAAATATGAAATTTTTATATATTATTAGTAATTTTAATTACACATATTCATTGTCGTCTTCCTCTTCATTGAAGCCACCATAAGAAGTTTTATAGAATTCATCTTCACCTTCTTCCTCCAATAACTGTGCAATTTTATGGCCAGCATTGGCACGTCGTGAACGTGCTGCAGCCATATTAATCCAAAGATTTAAACAAATATATACTAATTAATGAAAATGCTAACGGAACCAAACAAAACTAAATAATTTTCTTCTGTACCAAATGTCAAACTCATTATTGTTTAAAGCGGTATGTTCAGTGTATGTAAAATTTATGTCTAAAATTGAATATTTATTGTCATATCTATATACAAAATAATATGCAGTTTATACAGAATTGTATATAATATAATTTAGTTATATGAATTGTTTTTTCATAAATTATGATAATTTTACATAATACTATAAATGCTTATTATTGCTCACATTTTTATTTTTTAAAAAATGAAGTATTTAAGTATGTATAATATGTACAAAATAATATGTATTTTGCAGTTGTTGTAAATAGTTTCTGAAGACATTATTTTCCTAAATATTGAAATTTGTTGTTGTTATTTTCATCAATATCCAACGTTACTTTTTCAATTTCTGATTTTTGTATTTCAAATCAATTTCATAGTTTTTAAGTTCAAGCTCAAGTTTTAATTTTTTCAGCTCCAATTCTTTGTGAGCCTTTAATTCCATTTTTTTCATTTGAACTGCTTGTGCTCTGTCTATATTAGTTGCTAAGCAACTACCCCTATTGTGAAATCAATATACAAAGGAAATTGCGCGTATATACTAGGTGTGTTCTTTTGACATGAATGCTCAACTTCTGGTTGCTTAAAAATAACAACCAGAACCAGAAGTAAAAACATAATCAAATTTATGGTTGATATATATATGTAAATAGAAAAATACCTGAACATAAAATTATAAAAAAGTTTTTTTATATAAATATACATAAAGTGAATAACACAAAAAAGTTATTGATGAGCATTTTATATTGTATTTATATAAAAATACACATTCTTTTTACGTTTTATCCATGATAGCGTAGAAATATAGTGATATAAAGAGAATGGAAAGAAAGCGGCGCATTGACCAAATAATTGACATTTTTGATAGCTCCAGTTCTCCAGAAGGCAATATGAGATCGTCAATAAATTCTTTTATATAATTTTCAAACTCCCAACATCAATAGTTTATGCTAAATGAGCAATTGTGCTTTGTATTTTTTCATGTATATCATGTTATGTTTTTAGTGTACATAATACAGAAATTATAAATTTCTAAATAAGTAATTAATAAATGACTTCTTCACAATTATTAATCTCTCAGACATATTTACAAATTTTATTAAAAAAATTATTTTTTTTAAATATTTAAATTTACTTATCAGTATAAATAATAAACAAACTCCTCTGACATCTAACTGGAGTTTTCTATTTTCTTCCAAAAATCATTCACAACAGATCAGCAGTTTTTTCGTTAAGCAGTTTCAAAAAAGTTAGCTTATTTTTGCGAATTTTGTTTTTTCTTTTCATGTTAATTTTTAATACCGTGTTCTATCGGAGCATTTACGTCAAAAGAATACACCTATTGTTTTTAATGCAAAAACAAGAAACGTTGATATTAATGAAATGCTTATTTTTAAATAATTCTAAAAAATTGTAATATTACTATATATGTTTAGTTAAATTTGTTTGTGATTTAGTGTACTTTTGCTGTTGTAACAAAATAGTGCTGACCATTGAAAAATATATTAATCAATATATTAGCATTTAAGTTGGATTTTTGATTTATCTAAAGCAAATTTGATATAAATCGAAAAATCATATTCAATTCAATTTAATATAAATAAAAATATTATAATAGTGTTTTCAATGAAATGGTGACTTAACCCTGTATAGCTTTTTATCAGCTATTCTGTCAACTACAATTATTAAGACGGCCACAGGTTTGCCACTGAATGACAGGTAAGAAATTCTTTAGTTTGTTATTCACACTGTTTTCGCTTTAACCATTTGTGAAGTGTTTCTATTTAGCGGAAAGTAAAGGATTATTAAAAATACTTAACAAACACAATGTGCTATTACAACGAATAAGACGTTATGAAGCGTTCATAACATTGCATACAAAAAGTGATAATACAATATTTTTTGAAATTTTAAGACTTCTAAAACATCAGGTGCTTAAGGTGCTGAGGTCATTAATAATCATAGATTTATAAATAAAAATTGTACATAAGCCGATTAAATCTAACAACGAAATGGCCACAGCAGCTTGTAAGGTAATTCTGCACTTCTCAAATGCTGAACTATAACATTTAATAAAAAAAAAAATAATTGAACACATCTTTGCAATATTTAGGGTGCAGCGAAACGTCTTTTAAGATGCTTCTGTGGTTGCATGGAAATGACTGAAGATGAGGTACAGCGTATATACCGCTTAAGTACACAGGCGACGTTAATAGACAGACAGGCAACGAAACTGCTAAGAAGTTATCTGCAGCTTAAACGTTCTGGAGATAAAAGTGAAGCTGAACAATTTCTGGATATATATGAGAAATGTGGCGAGTATGCAACACAAGAAAATTGTGGAATACTAACACTAGATGAACTGGATGAGTTGTGTGATTTGGGTTTACCATATCATATGGAGAAAGAATTAAAATTGGTTATACAAACTGGTGAATGTTCCAATATTGAGCGTTGTTTGCTGCGCATACAAGGCGAATGTCGTAACGAAATCGAAGCAAGCCAGGAATACAAAGATTACAAATCGGCTATACTTGATAAGCTAAGAAATAAGGTATAACACTAGGTGTTGTTTATTTAGAGTAAATTCATTTAACAACCATTGAGCCTTTTGGTTATAAAGAACTTACTGCCGCTCGCTGTGCGTAGTGAATTCTTAGACTAAACAACATGTACTCGCTTACTTGCTTTAATTTATGCATCACTAAATAATTTTAATAATATTTAAGTTGAAAGTATTATATGTTATTATATATAAGTTGGAAACTAACAACGATTGCTGAATATGTACAATATTATTTAAATTATTATATTGCGTCCTTGCTTTGTAAATTATCTGTAAATTAATTTGTGCTACTTATGATGATTTTTTAAGTAATTTTGTCTTCTTAAAAGATTTCTAGTGTCTAAAGTTAATACTCTTCAAATGTACCTTAATTAGAATGTTATAATTAATAAATATATACAAAACAATGTCATATATATGTATGTATATTTGTCATGTTATTTTAAATCAATTTATTCAGCTTAGCTTAGTAACTATGTCAAGATAAGTACAGACCTTTGATATTTTTTAAATAAATTTTAATTATACACACAAATACACAAACAATCTTTTTTAATCAATTTAATTTATATGTTTTATTATAATATATATATATATGTATACATAATTATGCATATGTTCACTTATATGTGGGTGCATTTTAAATAAAATATTTGTTAGAAAACTTGAAATCTACATACATTTTTATCAATTAATTTAAACATTTACAAATAGCTTATAATTAAACAGAAATTTCACTATTTTCTACTGCTGTAAAAGATATATATATCAACTGTAATATAAGGAAACTTCGTAATCGCAAAAAACAAAAAGCTTGAGAAATTCAACAACTAAATATCAGCAACGCTTTAATGGAATGATTGTGTAATGTGGTGGTGCAGATCTAAGTTGTTTGGACACTATTCCTAGAAACGTAGTAATACAAATGTAATAATCTGCAATGAACAGTCTTTAATACTTTTAGCACATTTGTTTTTGTAGGGCTCTTTGCAATACGACTTTACACAATTGCTTGTTTTGTTACACTTTGTATGTCCATACATATAAGAATTTTCTTATAAATGTAAGGGATTTTTATATGTAATGTGCGAAGCAATGCTCGTCCATAAGTATAAGTTATGTTAAAAATTTAATTCTCAAACGTTTTATTCAGTGGCGTTCCACTTGTACTGTAGCGGACATTAACTCTGGAAATGTGTAAAACTTAGAAACGGACATAAATTTTTTTTTATAATACCATCAATCAATATCAATGATTGATCGTACTATAAGATATAAATTACAGTATTGATTTCGGAGCATAATAACTAGAAATCCACAGTGCCACATCCTCTCTAGTAATTTAGCGACATACTAAGCACATATACTTTCTTCTTCATTTTATTTTATTTTTACTGCTGTCCTTCTCTCCTAAGTGCAGTATACGGCCTTTTTCTTCATATTTATATGGAATTTATTTTTGCCATATATATTAAGATATGTGCATTAACAGATCAAACTTCTGAAACTGTTAAAAACGTGTTTATTGCTTCCAAAGCCTCCTCCATTATCTTTGCATATCCTTTTATATAGTTCGATATGTAATTTGCTGTTCATTCTTGTGCAATCACTAGTCCATTCATTTTGTCACATATTTTTATAAATAAATATTTATGTTTCTTCTATAATTTATTCCTTTTGTTTCTCGCGTAGGATACCCAACATTTGGTAGAATACCCAAGCAATTTATAACAAAATAAGTTAAAAGCTCTTCGTTTGGCCTTTTTTTTTTGCACATTATACATACTCGATTCACTTGTTCGATTCATTCTCATCAGCAAATTAATGACTTAGTTGTGTGTTTCTCAAAAATATACTTCCACATAACTTTGCTATAAGGTTTACATCAATACTAATTTTTCATCAACAATTCAAAATTAACAAAAATATATATAATTTAAAATAATATATAAGATACATACTACTAAACATACTTTTAAGTCAGCTATAATTATTATTTTAAATTTTTAAATCAAGTGTTTCATAGAAAATACTGAACTTCTGTTATTCTAGTTGTTATATTTGTGGAAGATTAGACTATATATAGAAATATATACTACCTAAAGTTAAGATCTTTTCAAGGAAAATGTAACTATTGCGTTGGGGACACAATCCAAATGTTCATTCTTTACATTCACTATTATAAGTCCTTATTTTGCGATCGGCTAACGTTCTTTATGCCCTAGGATTGTTTCCAGGAATAATACATCTCCATCGGTTTGTTCACCTGTAGGGAGGTTGTCTTATACATTAATTGAAAATAGATGTATATATTAATATATGTATTTAAATACAATACCTTCCAAAATTTATCATTTACTTGATGTAACGTCTGATTTCCATTCAAAATAACCAATTGCTGTGGCTGTGGTGCAATATAAATACAAAAATTTAACAAACGATATGCTTCAGATAACTCTGATCCCAAGTCTAAAGTCAAACGCATAGCAAGATATTTGCTGAGATGATCCACTAAAAATGATTTTTAAACAAAATTAAAAAAATCTATTAACTTAAAATATATACAATTTATTTTACCTGTAGCATTAGCTGTAGTTTTTATATATCGTATGCAATTCTCTTTTAAAGCTTTCATCAGCTGATTATCTCCAGCCATTTCTGTTGGATGTGGCTTAAAAACTAATTCGATTTCATCGTTAATACCCAATTCTCCATTGCCTTCACCTTCGGTATCAATATTTGAGTCACCCTCTGTGCGGCAGTCCATTTGCGAATCAGATTCGGATTCTTCAGAACGTTCTGAAGTTAAAACAGACATAGCACGTTTTGGTTTCGTACTACTGGAATTGGAGGGTACTGGTGACGGTGTGCTGCGCACGGATGGTGGATTGGAAGCGCCATCATCTTGTTGCATACGATTTGCCGACGTACTAGGCACAGTCGTTGGTACTGCGGCTGTAGTTGGTGTACTTGACTGTATGGTGGTGGGTGGTACATTTGTCGGAGGTGGTGCAGAGTTTTCACGGTTATCGCTTTCATTACCATTTGTATTACTATCATTTGAAGCATTGTTTGCATGTTGATTGTGATTATTACCACCTCCTCCATTACCATTACCACGATTACCGCTACCTTTTGTACGAAATCGTTGTGGTCTATTTTGGGATTGCAATTTTATTCCTTCATTTATTGAATTCACCAAAGCTTGTTGTGATTGTGTTTGGTTGAATTTTGCCATAACCTAATACAAACACATTAAATAGAGTGAAATTTATTTAATACAAATAGTATATATACCTTTTCTTGTATAGCCTCATACTCTTCGCGACTTGGATATATTTTAGAGATAAGTAGGTCAAAGTTTGGATCTGGTCGTAATGAACGTTTCGATACCAGCTTCTTGCGACAAGTGGGACACTCTTTATTGCCCGAACGTAGTGCTGTAATAATGCAATCTGAACAAAATCTGTGCAAACATTCTTTTGTAGTCATTGTTTTTTTAAGCATATCCAAACAGATCGGACACATTAATTCCGAATGTAGACTTCTGGGTGAGACTGCAATCTCCGTATTATCTGTTATGATTTCTTGAGGTTTTCTCTGCAACTCATATAGGGACAAGTCCCAAGTTTTATTTTGGGCTTGTTCTATTGAAGTCATTTTTACTTGTTTTGCAACAATTTTACAAAACTTTTAAATTTCGTTTACGATTTTCAATTATTTATTTAATTTTTATAATTTTAATTTGTTAATTCAATGTTTAGATAAAATTTCTTTAGAAATCTTTAATGCAATCGCAAAAACAATGCACATTCACAAAACTACATGGTTGCATTAGGAGCGTAAATGTGTAAGGTGGTGAAATTGAATTGTGGTGAAAATCATCACAAATTTTATTAACAAGAAAGCGAGCAAGTTAACAATACGACCATGTCTGCGGTGAATGCAAATATCATGAAGCAAGTCTTCTGAAATCAATTTGATAAAAATTAAAACCTGTATATAAATAATTTACTATCATTATTAATTATCAAAAATTAAGTAATTAAATTTCATTCTTCAGTTTTGAATTTTTTTAGCAGACAAAATTTGCTAACAAAAGAAATATATTAATTACTTTATGAGTATCGTATTAGTTATTTTTCAACTTAAAAACTTTCAACTTTAGTTTGAATAATTTTTTATACATTATCATATTATATATTATAATGATTATATTATATTATAATGCAAAACAATAATAAACATGTTATATTCATCCCTAACTCTAAAATTAATGAGTAGACTGAGATTTATTATTTAGTATAGAAAAATCAATAAAACCTTAAAGAAAGAACACTGAACAATAACAAATTATATGCTTAGAAAATAGCAGAAACCGACTTTCCAGTGTATTTTATTGTTGGGCCATTGTTCTATACTGATATTTATATATTTTTATTAGAACTAAGAGAAAGCTGTATGGATTATTATAAAGAATACAATAAGAATGCTATGTAATAAGCTCCAGAGGTGAATCATTGTTAGAGTATTCGTATGTGTATATAATTATTTGAAAGCTTATGCTATGTATTAAGCTCCAGAGGTGAATAATTGTTAGAGTACTCTTTATTTATTACTTTTCCTTTAATGGCAGAATTCTAATATAACTTTTCCAAAATTCCCTCATCTGTTAGTTATAATTGTAGTTCGATGAAAATAAGCACATTGCAATTAATTTGATGAGAGAAATGTGTTTTTGCCGTGCTTAGTAGATATACTGATATCTGTAATATTTGTATATAGTATCACTCAGCAAATCAAAATCCTGTGCTGCTCAAACTGTTAACGTATACATAAAACTGTAATTTAAACAGAATTATTGACCATAGCTTTCAGGGCTAAATATATTAAAAATTATCTGCATGCTTTCAATCATTGAAGAATTATTATGGCATGATACTTGTTGCAAAAATTATGAATTAAAATAAAAATTAAAATAAAATAATCTTATTTATAAAAAATATCGTACTTGTATAGTTTAAACCGCACATTCATTACTTGATTTACAGAACTCCTTTATCGATTTTATATACATAAGTAAATATAAGGATTTTTACACACTTCTACAATTTAAAAATCTAATTAATATTAACAAACAATTGAAAAATAATATAAAAAATGTGCGCATTATTTCCACCTACAGTTGCAAATATTGACTTTTTCTATAATTAATTGAAATAGGTAAAAACCATAAATTACGATGGAGTCAGGCGTCTTAGTGCCAGGCAATTCCACAAAGTCAATGAAACGAAGAATGCATATTGGGCATGCGTACGATCGTGCATAAAAATTAGAAAAAATTTATGCAAGTGTCTTCTGGTTGATTGTCACATGTACTCGTATACTCGTATATATGCTGACTTGGTGTGACAGTGACATTAGACAACATACAATAAACAAAGAAGTTTCTATTTTATAGTCTTGAGACTAGAGAACTCCAGAAAAAGTTGACAAAGGAAATGACAAGAAAAAGTTTTTAACAAGTTTATGGTGAGAATTCTTTCAATTGTCTCGAAGTAATTCTTACTGAATTATATATTTGCACATCAATTTGTTATGCGAATTTGGGAAAACGCAAAAAAAATATAATAAATAAATTTTATTTAACTATTATTCTGGTTTTTAACAATGTGAATGCAGTTAGAAATGTAAAGACAAGTGAATGTATTATCTATAAGTAATGTATGTGGAAGATTTTATCATTGCAGAGATCAATCTACAATCACATAAACTGAGGATAGTAATCTATTGTTGCTAATTCTACATTGTATGGTAAAAGTCCGATTTACATATAATTTTTGTTTTATAGCGTAATATTGTTTTAAATGGGTTGAGCGCAATTTTTAAAACAATATTAAAAATAATGTAACTTTGGATACAAATTTTTCATTATATGGTACTTCCTTCGTCTATACCGCAAATAGTCACCATTTTGCAGACTATTTACCTTTGTTTTCAGAAATCATATTGTTTATGAGTAAGAAAACCCCAGTTGAGCAATATATAGTAATATCTTATATAGCGCCCGACAGAGTTTAAATACCCGATAAATTAGGTTTGCCATACATACTTATACAATTGCCAACCTTTTTAGCGATATTGATGCAACGACTTTTTTAATTCATCGAAGATCTACGGCATTATACTCAGAAGTATTTATGTAGTTAAAGGAGAAAACACAAAAATAAAACAATTATCAATAAAATGAATCTTAAACCTATATAGATAGTATTGAAGTCATAGGAACAGCGCAATATCTAATATGAATATGCAATTTAATCACGTTTCCAGTCAAAAGTTACAATAGCAGACCATATATCCAACAAATATTTTGTTCTAATATACCCAAGATGACAGGTTAAACTAACATCTTACAACAACTGGGAACTTGTTGGTAAGAGAACATGACCTCAAAACACGTGATAGAAATTTGCCCGGTACTGATGTATAAACAAAAGAAGTATCTAGGTGAACATTTCATTTCGGATGAAGATATAAAACTTTGTGATGAAGGTTCAATACTACAATATATGGAAGAAGTTTGACTTGGAGAAATACTCCACCTGCTCACACCTGGAGAAGACAAACTGACACGGAAATGTCGCACATGTGGAAAGGTTGGGGAGAGTTGAAGCTATTGGCCACCAATCGTACCGAGTGAAAGTTATTTGTTGCGGCCCTATGCTCCTCCTAATAGTTAAAGGATTAAATATATATATATATGAAGGGAGCACAAATTTCTAAAATAACTCGGACTGTACATATGTAAAAGAATTCCGACTCGGTCTGTACGGCTGATATGGAGCATAGCCTTTCTCTCCATAAGAATTAAAAGGTGTAAAAAAAGTAAAAAAAAATAAAAGGGGCGGAAAGAGGGAGAAATTTAATTTAAAAATCTTGGAGTTAATTAAAGATAATGGCATTCAAGAAAGAAAAAATTGACGTTTATGTTATTTAGTTTCTTTAGGTTTTCATATGGTATATACCCAAACTTGACCACCCAACTTATCGCTTTTAAAAATACGATAATCAATAATCCATAAAGTCCACAAATAGTCCGCAAATAGACTAAACCACAAAGCCTCTGAAGATGTATTACTTATTTCCAAATAATTGTCTTTATTGAAATAAGTAGCTAAGTACTTTAAAGTTTATGTGTTTTATAATAAAGCAAAAGTTTTCTTGATGATCACTAAGAAGATAAAAATATTCCAGAGATTCCTTCCGTTCAGAAACAACACATTTAGAAAAACAGTTGTGCTTGATTTATTTTGAATTTCTGCATTTGTGTCTTTCTAAAAGAAAAGATTTAGTTTTCTTTCTTGGGCAAATCTTTAGGTAGATCTACGGGGAAGAACCAGATTTAATCTGCATTTACATGACATGTTTTCCTGTTATAAACGGCCAACAGCTTTAGAGATAATAGCAAACAAGGAAATAAGGAATGGTGTTGAAAGACAACACCAACAAGTTAATCTGTATTAGCAGTCAATGGAAATTAATTCCCACCATGTATTCCTAAATTGGATATAATGTCACTCAATAGTGAATTGGCTACAATACTGAATTATTAACGTTATAATTTTCTAATTAACAATTTATTTTATTATACTTTTGTGATGGTTTCCAGAGCAACAGAGTACAGAATACTGCACTCTCTACCAAATCTATTTAAATCGATGTCAGAATTTCTATTTTTATGAAAAGTAGTTATGATTATTTTATTATAATGATTTTTTTTTATGATTTTATTCATAATAATTATGGGATTAAATGGTAAACCAAGTTTAATTTGCATATCGTTGCATTTAAATAATTACATTTTTTTAAACTTCCTGTTGAGATAAGCCTATAGAAAATTTATAACTAGCACTGTTGCGTTTGACTAATTAATACAGAATGTTCCAGAAACTTCACGCAGAGACTTGAATACATAATTAAGGTGTGCGACCTTAATCGCATTTTAATTAAGAGTCCATGTTAATTGGTGAACAAACAGGAGAAGAAAACTACAATTTAGTTTCTTGTTCATGATCCGCCATATTAAAAAAAAAAGCGCACAATTTAAACCCACTTTGTATTCCGTTATGAATGGTTGAGTGTCAGAACAACTCTTGGGAGAAAAATACTCATTTCGATAGCCGAAAGCTCCAATCGTCCACTAAATCGCTTGATTGATGGCAAACAATTGATGTGTTGATGGTTTGTCAAATTGATATTGACATCAGTTGGCATAAAAGGAATCGCATATGCAAATGCATCTGTCAAAATCTGCTTTTATTCCGATTGTCAGTAGAAGGAACGTACAACCTTAAAATCTATAGATAAACACTAAAGTGGATTCAAATAAATTTTCACATTCTATACAAATCTAAGCATTCATCGCATACAAGACGTAGCAGTTCGTTCTTTGCCTGCAGCAATTCGTTGTGGTGGCTCAACACTTGAGTCCATTCAATGAATCCGCATTTGTGTCAATCCAAATCGAAGACATAATTCTTTGCCATGCAACATAAACAGTGAGCATTGTGCCTCGCGCTATGCGCATTTATCTTTAAGAGTCGTATTTGTTTTTCTGCTGCAGGATGGATTAAGAAAAATCAACTTGTTGCACGCAAACCAGCGGAAATGTTGCTCAATCAGTGCATCAATGCAATTGCAATGCTGCACTTTCCTCACTGCCGCACTGTTGCACTGCTGCTCTGCTGCTCTGCTGCACTGCTGCACTGTTGCACTGCTGTTTAAAGCATTTGTACTATTTTTATGTACTTTTCGCTATGATAATCACG